AGCTCAAGCACGCTTAACTCTGGAGTTCTCTCTGGATGTGCTCCCGAAAAGGTAAGTGCACTTTGGTGACATAGGTAGTCAAATCAATTCTCTTAAGCCTTTCCGTATATCAGAATTCGGGATGTTACACTTTGATTATGTGATATATGCAACATTGTTTTTATACATAAAAATTGTCTGTATAATATTTTAATATATGTTTAATGACATATTTTAATCATATATAGTTCCAACTAGCCTTATCGATCGCTAAAATCTCTGTAAGCTTAGGAAAAATAGTTGCAATGATCACACGTCAAGAGATAACAGTTTCACCACATATAAAAATATATCATGTTTGTGATCTAGAATCATACATGTATTCATAATCTGCAAAACAATCAAATCTTGTATGGATGGATTAGGAAAGAATAATACCCACATCTTTTGTACATTGAAGGTAATAAAGTATAAGTTTAATCTCATTCCAATGTATATTGAGCTAAATATTGCCAATAAATTCGGATCTCCTTTTCCTTCTACTTGGCTCTTCTTTTATAGGTGCTCAAAGGTGGATCAAAACATTGACGTTATCTCCAGCGATTATCAAGTGTCTTTATGATCTTCTTTAATGCCTCTATTTTTATACGTTTTAGTCTGATTGTGTCAGCTTGGCCTCAATTAATCTCTCATCTCGGGACGGGTCTTTGACCTTCGTTGCCCTATTGTCTTCTTCAAGGCCTTTGTGACACTAAATCAGGTTTTTGGATTGGGTTGACATCCGCCTCCAACAATACCCCCTCCCCCGGAATCCGGCGTGTCTTATGTCGTCTTACATGTCAGGTGTTAATTCCAACTTTAGTGATGTATTTGAGACCGGTGGTTTCATAAATTTCAAAACCTGTTTCGAAGTCTCGATTTGGCAAATTAATTAAGTGATTTGATTGATGTAAATCAAGAAATTTGATTTTCCTTTGTAAAGTGAATCATTTGCAACGTGACAATCATTTCCTTTAGTTCCTGATTTTGGGAATATAAACTGCTTATCATCTGTTTTCGTCTCTTACTTCGTTTTTCTTGAAGAAATTGAAAGTTTTGTCTCCCATTTTCTCCTTTCGTCTTTATGTTTGTTTTATATTTTTTTACTTTATATTTCATCGAGACTTAAATCTGAGTTTTTTTAATTTTTTTTTCTTCAAGTGTTTTTATTGCTGTTTTGAGTTCTCCTTCTTCGTATCATGCTCGATTATCTGAATTGTTGCCTCGATCGGATCCTTAGTCTCTAGATTTTGGTGTCTAGTTTTTTTTTTAATGTGAGCGATTGTGTTTGGTGTTTGATTTTATTATGTATCCTGTGCTTCTCTTGTAGTTATCATGGTGCACCCAACTATTTTGATACCTAACCCTGTCCAAAAGATGGTTGAATCTGCAAGGAAAAAGAAGGAGAAAGCTAAGGCTGATCGGGATGTAGCAGCTCAAAGGCTGCCAACAGTGCTGTGAGTTTGGGGGTCATCCCTTACGTGGTTGGTAGTACAGTTGTTTCTTCTGAGGCTATCACGCCTCATTCTCCGCGAGAGCCGTGGATGTTGAGGCTCCCATGGGGATTTCAACGTCGTTGTGGTTGATTCACCCATTGTGGTTCCTAGTGCGGTGGCCGCTATGATGCTTCCTCCAAATCTTTCTCCGCTTCCTGCGGTTTCTAGGTTTTCTCTTTTAGAATATGTGGCAAAGGAAACCATTTCAAAAGTCGTTGGCCGTTCTTTAGGCATGATCAGATGCCTGCTTATCTTTGTTTGTCATCGAGGGCTTCTCCGAGATCTTCAAGTGCACCCACTTCCTTTGATAGGGAACGTCGACATATCTTGGAGACCGGCTCAAGTAAACACTCTGCTTCTGGGTCCGGAGGCCGAGAGTTAGTTCTTTCAAAGAGACTTAGAGCATACGATATATTGAGCTCTTGGGTTCCCATATCGTTTTCTACTCGGAAGGGTGAGTATGATATTTCTTTCGAGTTTCTGGGAAACAGTCCTATGCATAGTGATAGGAAGGCTTGTGTGTGTATTCACTGTAATATTTGCCTGGCCAGCGATGTTAATTTCCTATAGAAGATGTTCTACGACAATAATTTCTATGAGGACGTGTGCCAGGCCAACACCGAAGTAAGTGATTCTTGTAGTTTGCTTATTCTAAATGATTACTTCCTTATGTTTTCAGGGATAACTTTGTCTTTTTCAGCATATGGGTTGGGTAAATCGCAACTGCTCATTTTACGAGTACAAGGTTTGCGAAGCTCGGGGCAAGACAGCTGCAGCTGAGAAGGACGCCCTCTGTTATTGGGATGCGTTGAAGGCATAGCAAAATAAGAACATGAGGGGTCTATTTTCAATGTTGCTTTAGAGTAGACCTTGGCATTTTGGTTTTTAGTTCGGTTTGGTTGAAGTATTTTGGGTATCGGGTAGTTTGGGTAGGGTCTAAAGGATCCAGTTACTATCCGAGCTATTTTCGTTTCAGGTTGTTTTAGATTTTTGTGGGTTTAGTTTGAATAGTACAAAGTGTATCGGTTAACAAGATAATACGAAGGTAATGAGATAATAAGTTCAATATGAGAGAATTCAGATCCTTGTTTCTTTCTGATATGATCTTCTTCTATAGGTTCTCTTCTTCTATAGGTTCCTAGAGGTGGATCATAATGGCGACGTGATCTTCGACGATTACCTGGTGTCTTTATGATTGTTTTTAATGACTTAGTATTTTTTATGTTTTAGTTTGACTATGTCAGTTCGGCAAAGATTATTCTCTCAGCTTGGGATGAGCCTTTGGTCTTTATATGTATATTGTCTTCTTTTAGACCCTAATGATACTAGACCGGATTCTTGAATCGAATTTGAAGTGGAGTGAAATCGGCCTCCAACAAACATCAACATGGATGAGAGGATACTAACACTAGGTAAAAATCAGGTTCAATATTGTTTTCCAGAATATTTTGCAAGAATATTGATTTATTGTTATTTACGTTCAGTTTCTAGAAATATAAAACATAGTATAAATTCGGAGAGTGGTGTCTACTCTATTAAAATAGAGTCATTATTTTATCTACCATAATATAGTCTATATTAAACCACTAACTAAAATGTAACAAACTATCCTAAATATATGCATATAAGATATTTTCCTAACATTAAATTAACAATAGAAAATCTAAACAATAACATTTATATTATGAATATGATAATCTAGGCCAGATTTTATGTATTTTGGAGTAATTAATTTTGAAATTAAGAAGTATAGCACACTTCTTTTAAAAATTGTCATATTAACTTTTGTATATCTAACAAAGTAAATAATATTGTTGGTTATATTATTTTATGTTTTATTTTTTTATAGTAAAAATAAAAACACAAAACTAAAATATGATACATTACATAAAAATATTTTTGACATATAATATTAAAGAATTTAAAATAATCACATAAAATATTTCGAGAATACAAATTATATTAATAATTCATATAAAACTCATGTTTAAAATTAAATTCTTAATATGATATTAAATTTTTAAATAAATAAATAACAATAAGTTGTGGATATATGATTAGTATTATTTCATCAAAAAATAAATTTAAATATATATACAATTTTCAAAATTATATTTGGTTACACAAACTCAAATTGTTATAATATATATAATTTATTTTAAAAATAAAAATATATCCATACGGATGTGCGGGTTCATCTCTAGTTTTTTATTAAAAGGAGAGTGGTGTTTTTTTTTATATCGAAAATGCATATATATTAAATACTAGAGGGGCTAGGCCCAAGGTGATGATGCGTTTTCGATCATTTAACTGGGTTTGATATGTTTTTTTAAGACTGAGGTTTTAGACTCGTATGTCTTATTAAGATGGAGCGTAATTGTGTTAAATGATTTGTTTTTATAGAGTAGACCCCTCTCAACAGGATTTAAACCTCAAATTCTTTTGATTCATATGATGTAATCCAAAAATTTTAACCACTATATACATTGGTTTATCTAGAAATTATATGTAAATAGTACTATTATGGGAATATCAAATCATTTATCCTTCAAATTTCAATTCATATAAATAGTTCTATTGTGAGCATATATGCAGTTTAACTAGTGTCTCACAGGTTATATGCATATAAATATTTTCTCCCTCAAACATTTGCTACATTTGATTTAACTAGTTTCGCAACAACAGTTTTTTTTTTTTTTTTTTTTTTTTTTTTTTTTTTTTTTTTTGTAGTAGCATCAACAGTTAACTATCCTATTTAAATAGTTCAGCACAAAAATAGTTATTGTGAAACTCGTTAAATATAGTGATGGACCCAGACTATTTATATATAAATAGTTTTTTTGTTGATAGAAAAACCTTGAAGTTGTTTCACATGATTGAATGACTGGATAGATAATATATTTGGAGTGAGTACACCTTAATACATTACTTGAGAGATTAATTTATTGAAACTTATCAAAAAAAAGAAAAAAAAACTACTGCTTTTTAAGAAGGAGAGGGCCAACGTTATCTCCATTTGCTTTGTTGTGCTTCATATGACTCCCATCACACAATGGAAATGTACCCGACCTCCAACACCTACCATACATTAAATCAAATTAATACCATTATGATTTCATACATTTGTTCAATTGTGAAACCTATTTAGCAAAGCCTCGCAAAAGAAAGCTTTAGCTTTTAATTGTTCGTGTTTACACCTGATCGACTGAAAAGCATCTTTTGGTTTCAATAACTTGTAACCGGATCTTCATTATGTTTTAATGATATTTACAAATTAGGAAAAAAAAATTGTTCGTGTTTACATTTTATATGTTACGTTATATGCTGAACGAAATGTTCTAGTTAGCCATTGTCTTTACATTATATATACATATAATGGTTTATTCTTATTTTATTTTCGTCAATGTTTTTTATTCGATAATGTATAATTTAAATCAACTATATTTGAATGGAACGTGGTCTTAGCTAGCATATGAATTAAAATATGCCGAAAATGTATACTTATAACTTCTAATCTTGTATATTGTAATAACAGATGGTTCAAAACCACTCATATGAACAGCAAAGTATATTTCCTTTGGTTTGAAAAAACAAAAGAAGAAACCTGCAGTAGGGAGTTATGTTTTTGGAAAGCTCCGTAACGACGACGGAGTCAACCACCTTCTCCTCGTTCTTTCGAATTTCCGGATTGATTCCTCCTCCTCCGCCTTCTGCTCTCACCACCGCCATTCTCTGCTGCTTCCTCCCCGTTTTAACGGTGACTCGCCTCAGTGGAAGCTGCCCACTGTAACATAGCCCAACGCCAAACGTGCTCATGCTGATTGCCATTGATAACTCTCTCTGTCTATGTGTGGCAGTGATTTTTTGAAGAGAGAAACAGAGATTTGCTTATGAAGAAAGAAACAAGATATTTGAAGGGTAAAGGGATGGAGAGCTTGTGGCCGTCACGCTCTCTCTACTAAAAAGACGTCGTGAAATGTGTGTATGAGATGAACGCCACGTTATCTGAACTGTGGTCTCTTCATAGTAGAGAAAGACCAAACATGTGGTGTCATGCAACTCTTTTTTTTCATGCTAATTTAGCATATTTAGGGAGGACAATTACTGTGTGGTTCAAATAATAACAAAAATATATAAATACATGTTGAGATTTCTTTTTACAGTAAAATTTCTACAAATTAATATTAGATAAATTAATAATCTCTATAAATTAATAAATTTTACTAGTATTAATTTGGACCAATATAAAATATGACATAAATTGATAAAATAATAAGATAATTTTTTAAGAAAATTTCATGTAAATATATGATCGCATTAAAATTATAAATTAATAATTTATATACATATTTTAGATAATAGTTAAAAAAATATATATTTTAGATAAGTGAAAACCTATCATTATATTTTTTATATTCATAATAGAATTATCTTTATGTTTTCTTAACACTTAATATATTTTTGTTGAGATTTAGTAATATTATATCTAAAATCACATTTAAATTATATGCAATATATATTATAAACAACAAATATTATAACAAATATAAATGTCAAATTGTTTTTTAAAAAAAAGTTAATGTATATACACTAAAATCAAATATTTTCTTCTCTTAGAATAGGTATATCTTAAAATAAGAAACTAAATAATAATTTTTAAAAAATTAATATCTCTAGAAATTAATAAAATTTCAAAATTACAACTTTATTAATTTATAGAAGTTTTACTATATTATTAACTACGTTGTGGGTGCAGTGTGGATATAAACATTTAGAACTTTATTTGTATAGATTAATCTATAATAATTGTATACAGTCTTTTATAAATATGGTGTATATAGTTTACAGTATTTATCATAAACAATACACTTTTTTTACTAACAAAAATAAGAAAAGCTTCAATGTGAATGATTTATTTGAAATATGTATAGTTTTAGGATCACAAGTGAAATTAAAAAAAAATAAAATATGAATGATCAAAATATGTATAATTTGAGGGGTATAAGTAGAACTAAAATAATTTTGGAAATAAAATTCAGATATTGAATCAATTTGGAAATTTGCAATACCAAAAATGCAAGATTGAAGAGATAACTAGGTGGGGGAACTTCGGTTATTTTATCAGTTCGGTGTGGGTTCAGGTTTGGTTAATTCGGTCCTAATATTTTTTTCAACCGAAGTAAACCATAATTAGTTTGGTTTGGATCGGTTCCGGTTTGGTTTGTGTTTTGGTTCGGTTTAATCGGGTTTCTTTCACTACAAGAAAACTAAGAAGTTACTAAGAAATTTTACTAGGAAAATAATTCCTCATAAATTTACTACGAACTTACTTCGGTTTTACGAGGAAAATTTGTTTCCTCGTAAGGTCGTCGTACAGCTACGAGAAACAGATTTCCTCGTAACACCGTAGTAAGCTTACGAGGAAATTACATGGAAAAAATCCATTTCCTCGTAAGCCCGTAGTAAGACACTTTCCTCGTAAAAACCTAGTAAAACCTTACTACGAAATTAAGAGGAATAGATTTGTTAGTACGAAATTAGGAGGAACTAGATAGAAAATATTGAATTTAAATCAAGAACGTGTTTTGTACCTACATTTCCTAGCAATTTCCTAGTAAATGCTCAGATTCGAAATATTCTATAAATACCACAACTGTGATTCATTTGAAACACACCAAAAAATAATCAGCTATAAGCTTGATCAAACACAAAAAATATGTTCGGTCCGGGAAATATTTTCGAGTTGCGGAAGTGGATGTATTCACACAGAGATAATAACGGGAGGGTGACGAAAGAATTTCTCGAAGGGTTGGAGACGTTTATGCATCAAGTACACCACTCACGCAGGAAAGTGGTAAGATGTTTTGTCCTTCTCGGAAATGCTGCAATACAAAATTAGGCCCTCGTGAAATTGTTTGGAAACATTTAATAAATAGAGGTTTCATGCCATATTATTATATTTGGTATCAACATGGAGAAGACGATGCTAGTTGTAGGAATGAAGGTAGCAGTAGTAATAGCAATTTTCAGGTTAAACCGGTTGATCATTTGCGTAATGAAAATAGCTATCATCACCAAGAGGAACAAATGGTAGATTGTGATAGGGTTCATGATATGGTAGGTGATGCATTTGTAACTCATGATGATGATGAAGTTGAAGAACCTAAATTAGATGCAAAAATGTTTTATGAAATGTTAGATGCTACGAATGAGCCAATTTACAGTGGTTGTAGAGAAGGTCTGTCTAAATTGTCGTTGGTTGCTAGAATGATGAGTATTAAAACCGATCACAATCTACCTGAAAATTTTATGGATGCATGGGCAGACTTGTTTAAAGAGTATTTGCCAGAAGACAATGTGTTTGCTGAATCTTATTATCAGATTCAGAAATTGGTATATAGTCTTGGGTTGCCCTCGGAGATGATAGACGTTTGCATCGACAACTGCATGATTTACTGGGGAGATGACGAGAAGTTAGAAGAATGTCGATTTTGTAAGAAGCCACGATTCAAACCGTAAGGCCGAGGGCGTAATAGGGTACCGTACCAAAGGATGTGGTACCTACCGATCACAGACAGATTGAAAAGATTATACCAATCTGAGGAGACTGCTGGATGGACGAGATGGCACGCCGAGCATACTCAGACGGATGGAGAGATGACTCATCCATCAGATGCAAGAGCCTGGAAACATTTTAACAATGTACATCCACATTTTGCTAGCAATAGCCAGAATGTGTATCTTGGATTATGCACTGATGGATTTAGTCCATTTGGAATGTCTCGGAGACAATATTCATTGTGGCTGGTCTTTCTTACACCGTATAACCTACCACCGGAGATGTGCATGCGACGAGAGTTTCTATTCATGACCATATTAATACCTGGTCCAAAACATCCAAAAAGATCTCTCGACGTTTTTCTATAACCACTGATAAAAGAGTTGAAAGATTTGTGGTCAACAGGGGTGAGGACATATGATTGTTCAACGAAAACAAACTTTACGATGCAAGCGATGCTTTTGTTGACCATAAGTGACTTTCCTTCATATGGGATGTTGTCTGGGTGGACTACACATGGGAGATTAGCTTGTACATATTGTAATGGAATGACAGATACGTTTCAGTTGAAGCATGGTAGGAAGACTAGTTGGTTCGATTGTCAACGTCGATTTCTTCCTGTTTACCACCCATACCGAAGAAACAAGAAATTTTTTAGGCACAAAAGGGTTTTCAGAGACACTCCTCCTCCATATTTAACTGGAGAACAAATCGAAGCGCAAATCGATTACTACTAAGCTCTAGAAACAGCTCCTCATGGTGGGAATTTGCATGTTTCCAGCAATATGCATGATTCTTATGGTGTTCAGCACAATTGCCACAAAAAGAGTATATTTTGGGAATTGCCATATTGGAAAGATCTTCTTTTGTGGCACAACCTCGATGTGATGCATATAGAGAAGAATTTTTTTGAGAACATTGTGAACACTATATTGAATGTCCCAGGGAAGACGAAAGACAACGTAAAATCAAGGTTGGACTTACCCGATATCTGCTCAAGGAGTGAGCTACATATAAAAAGCAATGGGAAAGTTCCAGTTTCAGTATTCAGACTGTCATCAGAAAAAAAGTCTGTGTTGTTCAACTAGGTGGCTTCAGAAGTGAAGTTCCCTGATGGGTATGTTTCAAATCTCTCAAGATGTGTTGAGAAAGGGCAAAAGTTCTCCGGGATGAAGAGCCATGATTGTCATGTCTTTATGCAGCGACTACTTCCCTTTGCGGAACTACTACGGGAAAAAGTACATGAAGCACTTTCAGGTAATTAATTAATATAATACGATGATATGATTAATTTATTTCTATATATATATATATATACTAAAGTGGATAATTTTTGTTTTTCTAATATATAAGGAATTGGAGCATTTTTTAGGGATCTGAGCACCCGCACTCTTAAAGTGGAAGTTGTCCAACAACTTCATGAAAACATCCCCGTCTTAATCTGCAACTTGGAGAGAATATTTCTGCCTACTTTTTTCGACGTCATGGCACACCTATTTGTCCACCTCCCGTATGAGGCATTACTTCGTGGACCTGTGCATTATGGATGGATGTATCAGTATGAAAGGGCCATGAAAACTTTGAAAGGAAAAGCCAAAAACCTAGCAAGAGTTGAAGGTTCTATTGTTGCGGGAAGTTTGACGGAAGAAACATCACATTTCACATCGTACTACTTTGCACCGAAATTACGTACAAGAAAACGAGCTCCAAGAAGATATGATGATGGTGGTGTCGTGCCGACATATATGGAAGACGATGTTCCAAACATCTTTTGTCAAATTGGGCGATTGGGTGGGAAATTGAAAGAGGTTTGGTGGTCGAGTGATGAAGACGTCCATAGTGCACACCTTTATATTCTTCTTAATTGCGAGCACCCATTGATTGCTTATTTTAAAAGATAAATATATAAACATACACACTTATATATATATATATATATTTGTTTTCAATAGTAAATCTATAACATAACATATATTATTTTACAGCTAATTTGTGACTCAAGTCGAGGAACCAATACCTGGTATATCGACACCTGAGTTAGAAAAAAAAAAAAGATCAACACTTTATCAAGTGGTTGAGGAAACATGTATTTATTATTACTTAAATTGTATGCATACATTACCACAAAGTAAGTCAATGTCTAGTTATATTACTTTTTGTTGAAGGTTGATTATGACGATCCTGAGTATCCCGCATGGTTTCGCGAATTACTTCAAGGTCCAGTTGCAAAGGTCACTACATCATCGATGTATTTGACCCGAGGCTATACTTTTCATACCTATGACTATGGTAGACAGCGGGCGACAAGTAATTATGGAATATGTGTGAAAGGCGAAACAAATTTCTACGGGATCTTGCAGGAGATTTATGAAGTTCAATTCCAGGGTATGAGTTTGAAATGCGTTATCTTCAAGTGTGAGTGGTATGACCCCGTCGTCAACAGAGGTGTTCGGATTAACAAGAACGG